GTAGGCATGGGATGTTTTCAAGTTATACCGCGGTTTGGAAAGTCAAGGTTTTAAAACTGCCAAAATGTTCTGTAATACCGTTCCCAAATTATGTGTACAATTTTTTATTTACTTTTTTGTTTAGTTTTTTAGGACGACAGTATGTCCAGCAGAAAATATATCCAAAGATGCCGTTTAAACGTAAAGAAATCTGTGTTTTAGAAACTAATGAAAACAGCAGAAGTCAATAATTCATTTGAAAACTTAGTCTGAATCCTCTGTTAAACATCATTTAGGAAATATTTGAAAAAGAAAAAATCTACAAGAGGGTGAATCATTACGACACGAGAACAATCAGAACAATCACAATACCAGCAAATAAAAATAAACACTGAAAAATGTTTAATTTGTTTAAATGTAAATATTTTATTTAATTATACATTTAAAACAATCACAACATTTTGTTACATAGAAATAAAAAATGTATATATAATTTATATTATATTCATTCATTCATTCATTTTCATTTCGGCTTAGTCCCTTTATTAAACGGGTCACCACAGCGGAATGAACCGCCAACTTATCCAGCATACGTTTTACACAGCAGATGCCCTTCCAGCTGCAACCCATCACTGAGAAACACCAATATACTCTCATTCACACACATACACTACGGTCAGTTTAGCTTAATCAATCCCCTATAGTGCATGTGTTTGGACTGTGGGGGAATCCGGAACACTCGGAGAAAACCCACATCAACACGGGGAGAACATGCAAACTCCACACACAGAAATGCCAACTGGTCCAGCCGGGACTCGAACCAGCAACCTTCTTGCTGCAACAGTGCTAACCACTGAGCCACCGTGTTGCTCCAACACAAATAACTTAGATTAACCTAACAAGTTTAAGTGGGGGCGAGGCAGTGGCGCAATAGGTAGTGCTGTCACCTCACAGCAAGAAGGTCGCTGGGTCGTCGGTTCGAACCTCGGCTCAGTTGGTGTTTCTGTGTGGAGTTTGCATGTTCTCCCTGCGTTCGTGTGGGTTTTCTCCGGGTGCTCCGGTTTCCCCCACAGTCCAAAGACATGCGGTACAGGTGAATTGGGTAGGCTGAATTGTCCGTAGTGTATGAGTGTGAGTGAGTGTGTGTGACTGTTTCCCAGAGATGGGTTGCAGCTGGAAGGGCATCCGCTGCGTAAAAACCTGCTTGATAAGTTGGCGGTTCATTCCGCTGTGGCGACCCTGGATTAATAAAGCGACTAAGCTGACAAGAAAATGAATGAATGAATGAAGTTTAAGCGAATTGAACATAAAAAATGAAGTTTTCCCGCAAAACGTCTCAAGCATTTTGTTGTTTAAGCTTATTTTACATTGAACAAGCAGCAAAATCATTTTTAAAGTGTATAGAAAACTGCTGATTTACAGATATATTTGTCTGACAGTGTCTGACAGAGAAAGCATGACTTAAATCCCTCAGAAAATACAAAACAAACTTAAAAAAAGATGAAAAACTCATCAAAACTACTGTGTTTAGTCAGTTTCAACAGTGAGAGCTGGACAGAGGAATGTTGGCCCTGCCTACTTTCAGACACCAGTTGCTGTGGCTCCACCCTTTTGTGATGTCAGTTGCGGTGGCTCCACCTCTCAGG